AGTGCCCGAGTCATCGGGCGCGGCGGCGGCGGCTGCCCTGGCTGCCTCTAAGGCTTCAGAGTTGCGGCCCATGGCGGAGAGGATGCGAGACTTGCGGTATAAAGCTTTAGCGTTGTCTGGCTGGCATTGGAGCACGCGGGTGACGGCCTGAGAGAAAAAAAAATGATTTATAAATAAATAATAATATCCTTGGACATTTTACACTGCGCGTCTAATCCCAAACTAAGCAAAGCTTGTACTATGGGTACTAGACAACGGATATAAACATACTTAAATACTTTATTTTTGTAAATACATACATATTATACATAGAAAACACCCAGTCCAATACAAACAAATATGTTCATGCACACAAATGTTTGTACTGTACGGGAATTGAACCCGCAACCTCCGGAATAGTAGTCCGTTTCGAACCACTACACTAAACGGCCGACACGGCTACGCCTAGTCCTTTATAAATAGTTTAATTTTATTTTATTTGTGTTGAGCGGCTATTCTAGTTCAATAAAGTCCTAGTATCACTGCGACCGTTATCGATCTATTGTGATCGCCGCTGTTTTCCTTACATTTCGCCTCCGAGTTCTGCATCCATTAGGAAGTGCAGTATCTTCTGGGGGGCGATATGTTTTACATCTTGTGGGCTTAGGATGTGTTTGCCCACTACTACTACACACACAACTACTAGTTTCTATGGGTAACTCACTTGTAAGGCGGCGTCGTAAGCGCCAGCCTTCAGCTGCGCGGCGGCCATGTTGTTGTGGACCCGTAGCCTGTCATCTAACAGCGCCTTCAGAGCGTCCGAGGTAGGGGTCATGATACCCCGCTCGGTTTCATCCAGGACATCTAGAGAACGTCTGTAGAGTTGCACAGCGAGGATTGATTTCCCTTGTACTACTCGTTGCTAGGGGTAACTTACTTGTAAGCGCCTTCAGAGCGTCCGAGGTGGGGGCCATGATGACCCCCTCGCTTTCAGAGCACATCTAGAGCGCGTCTGTAGAGTTGCACAGCCAGGATTGGTTCCTTACTTCAGCACTAGTAATTACTGCGGGTAACATACCTGTAAACCAGTGTCGTAAGCGCCAGCCTTCGGTTGCGCGATAGCTATGTTCTCANCGAGACTTGCGGTATAAAGCTTTAGCGTTGTCTGGCTGGCATTGGAGGACGCGGGTGACGGCCTGAGAGAGAAAGATTGGTTATGATATTTTTACTTATTATTACACAAATCACTAATACTCCCGTTAGCCCCTCGTACTAAGCTAAATATGCTTGTATCACGAGTGAGCTCACCACAATAGTCGAGCGGCGGCGGGGGTTCCCTGGATCACGAGTCGGCCAGTCCGACCCCTTCACCATTCGGCTGTTCGTGGCAATTTATTTAAAATAAATGATGATTTGAGAGGAAGAAGCAAAAGTTTATGATAAATATCTTTGCTGTTTGTAGGTAAATTTAATTACCTACCAAGTGAGAGCAATCCATGTAAATAAAATTATAGGTAAGGTACTAAAAGTAACTTCTAATAGGCTCCAAATATAAACATACGTGTTGTTGTGGACTTGAGGACTCTTAGACGTTCATCTAGCAGCGTCATTCGTCCGAGGTATGAGTCATCTACCTCTCGTTTAATACATCCAGACTCTACCGGTACAGTTGCACAGCAAGGATTGGTTCCCAATACCTGTACTCCTAGTTACTACAGGTAACTTACTTGTAAGGCGGCGTCATAATCGTCAGTCTTAAGTTACGCAGAGGCCATGTTCTCATTTAGTACATCTAGAGCGTGTTTATTCAGCTGCACAACGACAGTTGGTTTCTTACGCCTGTAGTCCTTTACTAGTAACTATGGACAACTTACTTGTAAAGCGGCGTCGTAAGCGCCAGCCTTCAGCTGCGCGGCGGCCATGTTGTTGTGGACCCGTAGTCTCTCATCTAACAGCGCCTTCAGGGAGTCCGAAGTAGGGGCCATCTGCCCGCTCGGCGTGGGGTCTGTGATACCCCCCTCACTCTCATCTAGTACATCTAGAGCGCGTTTATTCAGCTGCACAACGACAGTTGGTTTCCTACGCCTGTAGTCTTTTACTAATAGTTACTACATAAGGACAACTTACTTGTAAAGCGGCGTCGTAAGCGCCAGCCTTCAGCTGCGCGGCGGCCATGTTGTTGTGGACCCGTAGCCTCTCATCCAACAGCGCCTTCAGGGCGTCCGAAGTAGGGACCATCTGCCCGCTCGGCGTAGGGTCTGTGATACCACCCTCGCTCTCNATGCAGTCCTTTACTACTAGTTACTATGGACAACTTACTTGTAAGGCGGCGTCGTAAGCGCCAGCCTTCAGCTGCGCGGCGGCCATGTTGTTGTGGACCCGTAGTCTCTCATCCAACAGCGCCTTCAGGGCGTCCGAGGTAGGGACCATCTGCCCGCTCGGCGTGGGGTCTGTGATACCACCCTCGCTCTCATCTAGTACATCTAGTATTGGCTCCCTACGCTTGTACTAATAAGTTACTAAGGACAACTTACTTGTAAGGCGGCGTCGTAAGCGCCAGCTTTCAGCTGCGCGGCGGCCATGTTGTTGTGGACCCGTAGCCTCTCATCTAACAGCGCCTTCAGGGCGTCCGAGGTAGGGACCATCTGCCCGCTCGGCGTGGGGTCTGTGATACCACCCTCGCTCTCATCTAACACATCTAAAGCACGTCTGTAGAGCTGCACAGCGAGGATTGGTTCCCCACGACCGTACCACCAGTTGCCGCGGGCGCGGCGACGCGTGCTGATTGATAGAAAGGAAAATAATTGTTTTACAGAATTTTATACAAATTATCTTCATGGCTGAAAATCAACTAACACTACTGTAGGAATTTTATTGAGTCTTCTCAAAATAATAGCAAATCTACCAAAACTTATAAAACACCTAGCTTTTTTTTACTAGAAACTCATTATTTACATTTGACATTCAACCCATTATTATTACAAAATTAAATAGTCAACATTAGCAAAAAACGGCATGGGTGGAGGCTATCATTTTTCAAAGGAAATACAACTTAAATTAATATCGTGAATATATTATCAATGACTTTAGTATGTCACGGTCATTCTAACGCTACAATCTAATGTAAACAATTCAACCTTGTGATTACACAATCAAATTTACATGAAGTGTGGACACTTACCCAATTTGCATTCTTTCAGCTATCGGCAAGGTTTCATGCTCTGGCTCTTCATTCCAATCGNTCCAATCATGGAGTTCCAGCCTTACTTCGAGCCAAGTCTCTGGTCCAATGTTTGGACCGTCATATTTTGGCCCATCTAGTTCTCCAACTGTGCCTAAACTCTCTCCAGTTTTTAGCCCTGTTTCTCCATAGGCAAACCGGGGAGCCAGTTGCAAAAGGTTTTCTTCTCCTTCATGCATCAGGGTCAAAGCCAGGTCCATGCCTTGTAAAACCTATAAAATCATTGTAAATATTATTATATTATTGCCTTTTTTGAATTTTATGTTAAACACTACTTTTGATTCTGACATTTAAAACAATGAGGCTGTTATTTTTGCAAAAGAGCAATTATTTTTTATGTCCGGCTCTTGACTTGATCTATATTGATAAGTATTGTCAATAACAATATTCAGTTTATTCGGGGATTTTATTACAAGAAAAATTAATTAAAGCAAAGTCCCATGTTTATAAAATCAGTTTCAAATGTAGGTTTTCATAATTTTGCATAATTTTAAACATATTGCAGTGCCATTTTGAGAACAATATAGCGATATGATAAGATTTTGTCATCATAATCTCTTATCAAACATAACTAATAATAACAATGAAGTATGCATGTACTTAGATAATATGACATCATAATAGAAGCTGCAATCTACATCATCAATCTTACAGGCAAACATCTATTTTATAAAATTTTAAATTAATTTTAAACATTGAAACTCACCTCATTATCTCCCAGGTATATTTTTACTTGGTCCCTTTTCTCAACTAAATCACCTGTGTCCCGTATTTTGATTTCATAGCTAATTCTGCAGATATCACTTCTGTTTGGCCTGGATTCGGAATCTTTGCCAGGTTTTAGTATCTGTGAAAAAGTTATTATCTGGCATCAACACAGGAAACCACACATTGAACTAGAATTACACATTTTTATTAGGAAAATAAATAGAATGATAATTTGGAAAGAAGGTATCTGAAATATTGCAATTAAAATCATAGAAAAACGAGTAACATGAACAAATGATAAGAATCCATTATTATCCTTGTAAATAACCTTTTTGAGTAGCGCTCCTGACCCCAAAACATCCTGCCATTCATCTGTTTTGGGTTCGGCAATTTTTTCTTTTTCCGCCGCAGCTGCTTCCGCGATCTTCGCCTCTTCGATCTCATGAGCAGCAGCCGAAGCCAAGTCCTCAAAAGAACTGCTTTCTGACTTATCAACCAAAGTCCTTTCTTCTTCACTCATCTGTAAAAATCGTGATTTCGTGATTGTGTACGTGAGATAATACGTAATAGCCAATGTTTATATTAATATTGATACCGCAAAACATATATACTTATTGTGGAGTTTTACCAATTTAGTGCAAAATAAATCCTCACCTTCTATGAATTTCTAACAAAGGATATAGTTTTCCGAAAGAAAAATGAAATACAAATTGTGACAATTCAACTTTTTGGATTTGACTCTTGATTTTTTTATTCGCAATATTAAAATTGCATTTGTAAAGTTTGTTTACATTTAATTTTCAGAATTCAAAACTTAATTAAATAATTGTAATGATTTTTAATAAGTTTTCATTAACTTTATGATTATTTCTTTCTTTTTATTAATTTGTCAAATATTTTTGATATTTTGTCTTTGTTTGTAATGTAGTCAAACTTCCTACCGTAAACAAGCTTCGTAAATACTAAGGTCTAGTGATGTGTAATTCCATTTGGATAGAAACCATTTGAACTGTGGTATTTTCAATTGAAATACTGTTGATTACGTACAACACTAATTCATGTGGCTGTCAGTGAATTCACGTCTCTGTCTCTGTCAAAAAAAAAAGAAACTGTCAAATATCGGCTGGCGCTGGCTATCGGTAAACTGAAAAATTGTTGGTGATAAACAATTTGAGTCAATTTATTACATTGAAAATATGCAGAAATATGAAAAGCTCGAAAAGATCGGTGAAGGAACCTATGGCACAGTGTTTAAAGCTAAAAACAAGGAAACGCACGAGATCGTCGCCCTAAAACGCGTGAGGTTAGACGACGACGATGAAGGCGTCCCTTCCTCCGCTCTGCGCGAGATTTGTCTCCTCAAAGAGCTCAAGCATAAGAATATCGTTCGGCTCTACGACGTGCTGCACAGTGAGAAGAAGCTAACATTGGTGTTCGAACATTGCGACCAGGATTTGAAGAAGTACTTCGACAGCTTAAACGGAGAGATAGATTTGGATGTGGTGAAATCTTTTATGTATCAATTACTTCGTGGTCTAGCCTTCTGCCATAGTCACAACGTTCTGCATCGTGATTTGAAGCCCCAGAATCTGCTTATAAATAAAAACGGCGAGCTTAAATTGGCGGATTTTGGTTTAGCTAGAGCGTTCGGTATTCCTGTGAAGTGTTACTCGGCGGAGGTCGTGACGCTGTGGTACCGGCCGCCTGACGTTCTTTTCGGCGCGAAACTGTACACCACCAGCATTGACATGTGGTCTGCTGGCTGCATATTTGCTGAGCTGGCCAACTCAGGGCGGCCTTTGTTCCCTGGCTCTGATGTTGATGATCAGTTGAAGAGGATTTTTAAATTACTAGGTAAGATTTAAAATATTCTTCATAATACTAATGTTTACCATCTTTTCATCAGTTTTATGGTATACACATTTTGAGCCTCCTACCCTCATTCATATTTAAAATTATGTGCTATTTTTTATTAGATGTAGGAAGGTTTTGATAATAACTATGATTCTAAAGCACCTATACAGAAAGAATTAATGGATCCTTATTACATTACTGTGTAGGTCCTACACTGTAGGATAAGACGAATCTTTAATTAGATTAACTCAAGGTAACTCTTCATTTATCTTGTTACAGGCACACCAAACGAAGACACATGGCCTGGAGTGACTCAGCTGCCTGACTACAAGCCGCTGCCGGTGTACCAACCGAGCTTAGGGCTGGCCCAGGTGGTGCCCCGCCTGCCCGCCCGGGGCCGCGACCTCCTGGCCCGCCTCTTGACCTGCAACCCGGCGCTCCGTATGCCCGCTGACGACGCCATGGCCCACGCCTACTTCCACGACCTCAATCCATCCGTCAAGAATGACAGATGTTAACAATCAATCCACCCATACAAATGTACCTCTGAACTATTATTTTGTGATAAGAACACTGCAGAGATACAGGAGTGTTGTGATGAAGAGACATTGACATAGTTATAAGAATTAATGTGAGGATTGATTGACTTAAATAATAAGATAGACGTACTGAATAATATTTCATTTTGTACATTTAATTTAAACATTGTAGTAACTCCAGCTTTTATTTGCTCAGAAATGATCTCAAATGTGTTATATTGACTACTTCAGTGACTTAAAATAATTGACATTTTGTACAGATAATCATTGTGAATTAAGAGCCATTTCACAAAAATATTCCGCGCGAATTTAGGTAAAAGCTGTCAACGCAACGTCAAAAGATTAAAAAGAACGCTGAAATGGACAAAAAAATCTTGAGCCGTGACCGTATTAAGACTTGATTTAAGTTATTAATTTTAAGGTAGAATGAGGTATTCAAACTTGGTTAATTAATTTAAATGTTTAATAGAGTTTATTAAGTCTTTTATATTTCGATTCATAATGTAACACGAATAGGTATAATATGTAAAATATATATTAAGTATAAAATAAAGACAGTCACATAGTGAAAAATAAATCTGCCCCCTTACAGCTCCATCATCGGACCCTGGATACGAATAATGAAACACGAATAGGTATAATATGTCAAATATATATTAAGTATAGCCTGACCAGGAACATAAAAACCCTCGCCATGTTGCGGAAAACTAATGGTACTAATTTCTTTTAATGGCAACAGTAACTGAAAACTTCATTGACATGTCACCTTGCATGTCAGTCTATTGCTGTCAAAGTGTAAACAAACTTTATTTTAAATGTGCGCAATTGATTTTGTGAATTAAATTGCTAAAATCTTTTTATAGTCGTGAAAGAAAAGTGGTTCACAATGTGTTAAAGTATTTATCGAAGAGAAGTACTAAGGGTTCGGACAATATTTTCATTGAATAATGTTTCCGACAAAGGTTGTCAAATTGACTGACATGTTTATCGTATAGTACAGTCCACTATGAAAATTAGCTGTGGTTTGTTTCAAATACCTATTTTAAAGTTTTTTGTCACTTTCTAAGTGTTGAATTTTATGGAATTGGGAAAGAAGTACCGAGTTTGAAGCGTTCATGAGCAGACATTGCAGATTATTGATGAATAATAAAATAAATCCTACTAACTCGATTGATGGTTTCATTTAATTTATTTAAACCAGGTTACCTATAATAATATTTTTTCGTTAATTTATGAAAATATCAAATTAGCCCGTAATCCTGAATCCGGATACATAAAGTTAGCCTATTAATTTAACACAGGTACGACTGTACTCAGTGTTGCACTATCAAATGCAATTGACGCGCCTCTATGCCAGGGTTTTTATGTTCCTGGTCAGGCTATNGATAGCTGTACTGGCACTTTCTATTTCTGTTTTAGTTCTAATACCCTGGGCACAGGCATCATCTATTTTTTCTTTTGCTTTAGTACTTGTAGCTTGTCCAGATGTCTCTCCTCTTGATCTTGTCAATTCATCTACTTCTTTTTTAGTCTCCATTGATATCTTCTGGGTTGCACCTGTAGAAGGAGCTTCCAATAATTCAGGTTTCAACAGACAGCAATGATCTTCTTTCAACATTATTTCCATGTTCTTTTTACTTGATGCACTTTCTACTTTCTTAGAGTCATCCACCTTTTCTTTTTCCATCTTTTCAAGTTTGGGTTTGTTTGGACAACTATCGCACATTTTGATTGGAACAGTGATTTCCTTAGTTTTTGATTCTTTAGCTTTTTCGGCAGTCACGGTGAGGATTCCATCAGAAGAAAGTGAAGAGACAACACTATCTGCATTACAATCGCCAGGCAAGAGGTATCGCCTCTTAAACTGCCGAGATATAAACCCGTAGTTGTCCTGCCTTTCTTCGTGCTTCCCTTCGATTATAACTTCTCTGTCTGCAACTTTTACGTTAATTTCATTTGGTTGGAAATGTTGCATATCCAATGTTATTTTGAAACTGTTCTTTTCATTATGTATTGTCGATCCAAAATCTTTTTCTGATCTTTGTAGATACCATTGCCATGGCCTGTAGTAGTTCGTACCGTGATAATTGTGCGACGGGAATATCAAATCGTGGGGGCTGATGCATAATCCGAAACTTTGGTCGAATAAACTGTGTGGGTATCGTGATAGATTCATCTCGACTTCGCGATCTGAGCGGGACTGAGAAATTTAGGGCGGCGCCAAGATCTTTTATAGACTGCCTTCCTATCTTCATAAGGTTGCCAATAAATATTTTGTTAGGTTCAATATATTAATTACTATTGTGCAATCGCCAAGATGATAAAAGGAGTTTCGGATATCAGCGGCATTCTGAGATAATGATCAAGTTTAGTAAAGGCTTTTCCGAGCATAGGTAGTTAGGTACCTAACTGCTTCAATAATTTCCAGGGATGAATAATGAAATATGACATACTTATCGTAACTAGTTTACATACTGCTACTATACATAGGTACATCGTAACGACTTCTAGATGTGCCATTCCTTGAAATTGAATCTCCTAGAAAGCTTGCAATTAATTCGCTCTCGCTCTGAAACTAAGTAGCCATTGCTTGCTCAGCCCTAGGTGCGACCCATCAATAGTAATGAATGTTTGAACGTTCTAGCGTATTTATTATTAGCGTGACATTAACAACTGCGAATCCAAACAACAACGCTCAAAATAAAGCCATGATTGAATTACTTGAGCTCTGAATTCAAGTAGTAAATTCGTTTTTAAACATATCTATGAGGTAGAAACGGGATTGTATGGTAAAAGTAGGGACATACAGTCATAGTAAGTAGTACAAAGAATACACTACGAGTAAGTAAGTAGACTGTCGCACCCGAACTTCATAAATAAGATCCTGATTAGGTGTAATCGAACCCGGGACTAAGTGCCCATTTGCAGTACATCTAAATCCCGCGTTTCGTTTGTATTGGATTAGATACAAACATTTACCTTGCGTACCTAGAAGACGTAGCGTGGGCAGGCCTCCCACTAGGTGGACCGACGATCTGGTGAAGGTCGCGGGAGGTACCTGGATGCAAGCGGCGCAGAACCGGTCTTTGTGGAAATCCTTGGGGGAGGCCTTTGTCCAGCAGTGGACGTCTTTCGGCTGAAACGAACGATTTACCTACCTCGCGTGGTGTCTTCTCGGCACCCGACAACTCTACGAAACTTCTATAGAGGCGTTGGATTTTTAATTTTACTGTTACTTACTTATTAAGTAAGTTATCTCTTTACAAGGCCGTTGAGGCGAAAAAGTTCTCGAGTGGCGACCGCGGGCAAGACGTAGCGTGGGTAGGCCTCCCACTAGGTGGACCGACGACTCGGTAAAGGTCTCAGGAAGAGCCTGAATGCGGGCAGCGCAGGACCGGTCGTTATGGAAATCCTTGAGGGAGGCCTTTGTCCAGCAGTGGACGTCATTTGGCTGAAACGAACGTACAAACAAGTCCATATTCGCTTGGCCTTGTCATTTGGGTTAAACTACCCCCTTGTCATAAGTTCATAACCCCAGTCAACTAGCTGACTGAATAGCTGCCTCTGTATGCAAGCTCTCTCTGATCTTTCTACCTGTATTGGTAGAAAGAAGCAATAGCAGAATTGGAAGTAAAGTTGTACAAAAGTTAATTGTGGTATTTATTCAATGAAACAATTAAGATAATTAGACTAATATTTATTTACATAATATCCTTAAACATAATTAATTTCCTAACTAAAACATTTCCATTTGTGCTCTTTTTCTTTTCCTATGATTAGCAACCATGCTGGCTGTAGTTAGTGGGCAGTCTCCTCTCTGGAGCCACGCAGACAGCGAGTTTTCAGTGCTGGCGGCAGCGGCGGCGCGCTTGCGTTCACTGGCCGACAGAGGCTGCATGGTGCCCAATGTATCGGTAGACACACTTGCCGAAAGCAGCAAACGAAATCGTTGTTTACACGTCTGAAAGGAAAATCAGGAAATTTTGAAACTGGATTGTACAAATTAGTTTTTGTTCAAATGTTTATTTCACATTGCAGGTACTTACATTTTCTAATGTAGCTGCAACTTCCCCTTTTATATCGTGTTTGGCTATGTAGCAGCCCAATTCATAAAAATATTGACTTAATTTATGCATGTCTACAGTACAAGCATCTGCATTTAGAATTTCTCTGTAAGAATCTTTGTAAATTTTTGGTAAGTCTACACTGACCAAGGGAGGTCTTCTAGACTGAAGAGATTCTGCCAGCCACAAAGGTATTTCAACATTTGTGCCGGCTTTTAAATCGTCTTCAGCAGCTGAAGGATCTAGAAATCCTGAAAAAGAAATTTTAATATGGATAAATTCATTCAGATAGAATTGAACAAAGTTTGAACAATTTCCTCCCAGTTATAAGTATTATAACCTACCCATTTTCGGTAAATCGTGTAAAAATTTACATGGCACTTTTTCATTGGTCACTAAAATATCTGTTATTGACAAATAGTTCGACATTGTATATTTATTGGGGAAATTATATGATAAAAAATAAAAAGCATAGCAAAACAAGTCAGTTACGAAAAATAATAATAAATATTTTGACATATCTATTTTAACGAAAGGACATCATATTCTGTCATACAGAAGAAGCACCATTATTTTACCGTTTTTATCCAAAATACGTTTTTTTGGGAAACGGAATGTAGTGATTGATTTGCAGGGTTACCAATTTGTGGGGAATTCACCAAATTGCGGGAAACGCAAACCTGATTGAGGAATGTATGGAAAGCTTCAATTTGGGCAAAATGTGTAAGTTTGAACACAAAACACTATATTTAACATAGAATTTCTGCTAGTCTTCTGGACTGATTTCTTATAATATGGTTTCATTTGAATGTAGTATAATACACTCGACAGCAAATAAATCGCACCACACGCGACGCGAACTTTAAAGATTTTCTTTTGACACAATAATGGTGCCCCAACAATATTGGTGTTATTTGAAAGCCCAATAAATATCCTTAAAGAAAAACACATTTATTTCTTAATAAATGATTAACATATACCATAAATGTGACTTGAAAAAAGACCTCACTTTGGGCTCACCTCTGGGATCAATTAGACCAAATTGTATGGTTATAAAACCAAATAATGATCACACGGTGTCCTCTTTAACAGATGGATAGCGATTAATCCCAACTTAACAGTTTTTTAGTCATAAAAAATGGCTATAGCGTAACTACCTATTTTTTGAAGAAGTGACTCTGGATCCTTGTAAAGACACATTTTTGGGGTAAAAACCTTTCCTTTAATAATGTAATGAATAATGATTGAAGTTTAAAACTAGAAGAATAATGAAGTTTAGAACTAGGCTTTTAAAAGGTGCCAATATTGGTGGGAAGTAGGGATGCATACATTTGAAAATACTTGTCGCGGGTGGTGCGATTTATTTGCTATCGAGTGTAGTTGGTCCTAATAATGATAATCATCAGATTTCGTTGGTCTCACGGTTGATTGTGGCCCCTGTGTTATATCTATTAAAAACAAAATTAGAAACAAAAACACTTTTACTTTATTTTTTATACATGTCGGCGCCGGACACAGATGCTGCAAATTATTATTGATGATTAATAGTACCAATCTTAATATTATGTTATCTGTAAATCTGTAGAGCAGAAGGTTTGTGATTCCTAAACGTAACACCCGACTGATGCGCAGAAAAAGCAGTGTTGCCAGAAGGTTACTTTTGTAACCTTTTAGGTTACTTTTGAACTGCAGAGGTTACTTTTAGGTTACACTAATGAAAAGGTTACTTTTAGGTGATTTGTCAGAAATTGTAGAATTAACTTTTACAGGTTATTCAGTAAAAAATATTAATAGTGACAATTTAAAAATTATGTCATAAAGTGCATTTATATTTGTTAAAAAATTGAGTTTTAGCGAATGTTTTACGATAATAAAACGCAAATCCATGAAACGTTTTTATACGACTGGTCACTTTTCGAATTTAGATGAATTGTATTCATTTTCCATCCATGAACAACCTTCCACAATCATCGCTCCGCCCCCCCCCCCCCCCGTATGAAGGTTACTTTTTATTCAAAAAGGTTACTTTTTTTTATATTTCTGGTGATTTCTGACTAGACCCGACTGGCAACACTGAGAAAAAGATAACTGTCAATTAGTTGTGTCATGTCAAGTGTGAGCAGGCGGCTGCGAGGTTATCTTTGAAAGCGTGTTGAGTTTGGTGGAACGTTAAATTGTAGGAAAAGTGATTGTCAACCATCCAAGATATTATCTCCTTGCCCGTTAACCCACGCCTATGGAGATTCCACCCCTAGAGTTCCTTCTGATAGAGACCCAGTGCCTTTATACATTTTTTAGGTGTTTTATTTATGTGGGAAACGACAATGCGTTTGGGGATTTTATCATATTACTAGCGGCAACTCTGCTAATTTGACAGTGGCTGTCAGACGATTTCTATAATCTGTGGATTGATTTCTTGATCTTGACACGCTTGCGCCGTGAAATGACGCTCCTTTTGCGATTTGTAATGTAAACTTGTAAACATTTCCATAAAATCTAAGAAATTGCTACTCAATTATTCACAGTATGTGTTTTTATCTACAAGTTATTGGTTGTGGAGTGCAATTCTAAAGAGTGCGATCGTGAAAATCATTTCTTTTAGTGTGTAAAACTACCCTACCGGTACAACAAAATGTCGGGGTAAGTTTTAACCGTTCTATCTATGTATTTAAGAATTTTAAACTGTCTTTCTTTCTTTTAGTATGTTATAAATCTTATCAAGATATATTTTTTCATTCCCTCGTTTCGGAAATAATTGTTTTTGTACTATTTTTCTCTTGCGCAGTTTTGGCGCTCTTAGTATGAGCATGAGCCGGATTATTATTTACTTACACAATAGTCCTCACTAGTTATGTCTAATTCTAGGAAAGCATATACTATGAAGGAAATGAAAACTATAGTAGAATATTTGGCAGAACGCAGAGCTTTTGCCGAAATAAAGGGTAGGAAGATGTGGATGGATTTTGCTAACTCAAAGGTAAGTGGAAGAAATCATAAATTTGTTACAATGAACTATTTTTTCATAGGGATAGCGGTACCATGGGTACAGTTAGTAGGCTTGTAACATTATCTTATAAGAAATGTATTAGTTTTCCACCTGCATACAAAGCAATATTTCAGAAATACTTCCAGTGCCACACAACTTCATGTTACAGCACTTTGTGTATTGATTAAAAATTAATGGCCACCAACAGTGTAAAATCACTGTTGTAGTTTTTAATAAGAGATCTTATGATCATATAAGTTGATCACTTGAGTTTTCTTAAGGCTTAAAAATGATATATTTTTTTTTAAGTCTGGATCTCTCCAAAACCTTGCATTTCTAACTTTTATATTTCATAGTAGGACCTTTTACATATTTGTTTACATCTATAAAAATTATAGGCATCTGTTAAACCTTGAGTTAGCATGAAAATATACACTATAAGTCACTACCCAAATTAAAAATACCACTGACCATTGTAATGGTCATTAATAAGTTTTTAATGACTTCTAATTTTATAATTAAACTTATAATCATTATAGTCAATACCTAATTGCTTTCGTGGTATAATTTAGCAAAATAGTGTTTTAAACTTTCATAACTTCCAAGTTACTTGCTAATGTAACAGCATACTTTAACAATTCCAATTGTTTCATAAAAACAACTTTGTAGAGTAGTTCTCACAACTTTGTTGCATTTTTAGTTGACAAATCGAACGTGGCAAAGTCTGAAAGAGACATTTCTGAAGAGAATTCTTCCTGACATCCACAACCCATACTACAAACTGACTGTAGATCAGATCCGTTGCTTCAAAGAAGGGTAAGTCGACGTTATTGTTATGATTTTATCAAATGACTTTTCATAAGATTATTAATATTTTGACATGTTCTCCTAATTAACTTTCACATGCCAGTCATGGCAAGGTACACTGTAACGAAATTGATTATTTACAAACATCTAATGGACGTGTATTTCTGTGAATAAATGAATTTGAATTTATGTCATAGTAAACCTATACATTAAATGCGAAAGGTCAGAGTAACTCACTATCACAGAATCTCAGAAACAATAACACCTACAAATTTGAAATTTGGCAGGTAGGGTTCTTATAGAACGTATTACGAAATTCCACCCCTGAGGGGGTAAAATGGAATCCATGAAGTCGCGGGCGGCTGCTGGTTATTTATACATTATAATGAACTGAATAGCGAACTCATAAACAGTGGAATCTGAATACTGTGTACAATTTGATATTATTGTCTATTTTGATATTCAGCGTCTTCATGCCCAAGAATCCTAAATGTAACCTATCTTATTAGTCTTTTATTTTATTTCTCTTTTCACCATTGATGTGTAATTATTTCTACTGTACTCAAGCGACTTACATAAAAAGTGTTACATATTCAATCGAAAATGAGTAGTTGCATTATCATAAAGACTGTTGTATCTGTAACTTACTTGCGCTTTTAGGTATGATGTCATAGCAAGAGAGAAAAGTAATTTGGAACACCTTCAATTAGAGGATGCCTGGCCAACCAAGGGTATTGTATTAATATACAGTAATAAATTAATAGGCTAGACTTTTTAGAAATAATAATATTACACATTTTGAAATTATTTTCAGCTAGCTTTTTGACCCTTGCTTAGAAATTACTTGTAAATATTACTATTAATATTAGATGTAGTAAGTATGCTTAAGTACATTTATTAAAGTAATTTTGGATTACCTGTTATTCTTAGCTGAAAAGGAAACAGATACAGAAACTGAAAAACCAGGCACTAGTAAAGATAACAACGGGGAGGCAGCAGGAGGTGAGGACACACAATCTGCAAAAATCCAATCACACGACAGAGCATCCGTCGACACCGTGATTATAGCCAACTGTTACGAAACCGACGACGAATTGCGAAGGGTTTTAGAGTCAGACCTATCGCCAAAGCCTAATAAAAACCAAAACCGAGCAGCCAATCCTCCAACTAAGTCAATGCGAGATTTAATAACCTATTCGGAGCCATTAACGCCAATGCTGCAAGAAGTTTTGAACGATTTTGCATCTGAAGACGATTCGGACAGTGAACTTAGAATGCACATAGTCGAGCATGAAGAACCAATAAACAATGTCATTGAAATTGAAGACTCAGATGACATAGGTGATAAAGACAAAAATGCAGCTAACAAGTCAAAAACGGACAAACCGACAGAAGACAAGATAAAGGAAGAACCAACTGCAGAAGATAAGTCAAAAAAGGATACAACCCCAAAAGATAAAGCTAATGAAGACAATCCAAGTATTATTCAAGCTAATAAAGATATAGAGACAGACACAAATGACGCGAATGAGGTTATAGAACAAGAAGTTTCTTCAGAAAGTAACATAGATAAAAACAAAACTGCAGAAAAAAATATCGAGACAGACAAATCCGTAGGTGATTCTTTAGACAAGGATAAAACTAATGAAAAATCTGTTCAAAGTGAGTCTGAAATAAGAAAATCAGATGAATTTGTACAACCTAAAGTGTCATCATTGAAACTAAAAAAGCGAAAAGGTGTTACTGGTAACCCAGATAATAAAACTGACAAAACTGATAAAGATATGTATGAAATAGTTGAACAAGACATTCCAGAGAAATCTAACGTCGATACATTGTCAAATTATGCTAAAAACAAAGATGAAATAGTGTCTTCTACTGTGTCTCAGAAGAACACTCAAAATTCTTCAAACAGTGACACAATTCTGCCAAATAATCAGGAAGCTCTAAATAATCCAGACAAAAGTGCAACCACTGTCGATCATACTCAAAATGATAACTCCAAATCCTCTAATATTACTGAAGAGGCAGTGAAACTTAAAAAAAATACGAGGAAGCGTGCCACTTCCCAAGACGTGGCAGCCACATCAAAAACTAAAAAAGCTAAGACAAACGCTAATGGTAAACAGAAAGCTGTATCCGACACTGATGATGTTGTGATGAAAAAGCTAATCAAATCTAAACTAGCAAAAACTAAACTAGAGCTCAAGAAGAAGAATGTCATTGATGAAGTTGAGGATCAAATAGAAAAAGAGAATGAAGTTAATGGCAATAGCAAAACTGATGGTAATGTTATTGCAAAGGAAACTGCGTCTGAAGAAATGCCATCTACCAGTAAAGCTGTCATAAGTTTGCAAGATGCGTCAGAACTGAACCTTTGTTTGAAGAGCGTCAGCTTATATGATGAAGAGTTCAATAAAGTCAGTTACATCGAGTCTGAAACGAATGAGCATGAAACTTCACCGGCTGAAATGGCTGAAAATAAAGCCTCTACATCTGCTCAAAATAAAGATAACGCAAAGAAATCTGCTACAGTAAATGGCGGCGAAAAGGTGGTTCCTAAAACGACCTCAGAAGCGAAAGAAGATGCATCTAAGAAAAAAGGCTCTATCGCTAGAAGTATCGACGAAGTAGTAATGCTCAAGTCACATTCGGAATCTGATGACGAGTTCATAGACCCGTCTCCAAAAATCAAAGTCCCGGTTAGTCGAGCTGAGAAAAAAGCGCAAAAAGACAGCGCTTTGGATAATGTATTTGGACTCCAAAGTGGTAAGTTGTTAGAATGAATACTTATGAGAAAGTGGCTGAGAATTGGCAATAGGTTTGCTTGTTTACTTTTGGCAAAATTTGGTTTCGCACATTTGCTTGCGCGGAAGATTGTGAAATGGGAAAATAATTGTATTATTTCTTGTTTTTAGGTGGTACGAAGCGTAAGAAGCGAATAAGTTACCGGAGAAACTCAAAACATCAACGGTAAGTGATATTTGCAATTAAACTTTGTAAAGAACTGAAGCCCTTGTAAAAAATATTTTTATAGTGCCTAATGTTTTGTTACTTCTGTAGCCATCACCAAGAGTCAAGTGACTCTAGCGAGTGGACTTCAGAGAGCGACAGCGAATCCTACGTGTCGCCGCCCCGAGGACGGAAGAACAGGCAGACTAGGAAGTACTTGTGAGTACGACTTAGGACCTGGACACACCACGTTTCTTAAACGCGCGTCGAAACAGGGCAGCCGGACTTCTCTGAGTATCACGTTGTAGCGTTCGTCGATTAAAAAACGTGGTGTACACCGGCCCTTAGATTAAACTTTAGGCCTGAGTCAGACAGATAATCGCGCGGCTGCTGGGCAATTCTCGTACTTTTGCATCAAACCGAAAACGCACCACGACTAAGGTCTCAGTACCTCGCCACTGAACTGAGAACCACCCACAAATCGCGCGTGACTGAAAAAGGCCGTTGTTGCGTTTTGCAAAATACACTGCGAAACACGCCTTACGATTGATGCGCATTATTTTTACATGAAAATTGCCGCTGCGTTAATAATATGTATGATTTCCTTACAGAAAGCCACGCTCTGCTCGAATACACTCCTTGGAGGACGACGGAGGCCTGTTCGTGATGTACGGCAAGAAAATATACCCTCTAGTCAAAGATGGAAACATCATCAAAAATTATCTCACGTATTTACCAGAAAGTAAGTTAATTATTTATTATTAACTTTACAATTTTTGTATTTTGATTCTAGGCATTCTAAAGATGTACTTTTGACTCGATTTTATCAAAAACTTTTATTCAAAGAGGCGTGTGCTAAACATTTTAGTAACGTGCAATTATTTTTGTTCGAAACGGTGTAACCGGATATTTTTTGCGACCGAATGCAGATTAATAATGCTTCTCAATTTGAGATTTTAATCCCCTGCTGATCGAAATCAGGGTGAGACCCTAAACAACGAATAGGGTGCCTGTGGGTATTGTAGGGTAGGGTGAGCTCAAATCTGTGCATCCCTGCACCTCTTTTATGCACACCCTAGGCTGAGCTTAAGCTGACTGACCAGAAGTACTAAACCAAAAGGTCCATAAACTGTTGGGCGTACGGTACCTATTCCAATAGTCGATAGAGTTAATAAAAAGATGAAGTAAATTTCTGTAAACACGACACGAATGTGCATCTTATGACCACGGGATTTAAATCTTATTTAGTTAACGCCAATGGACTTTTTTGTACGTACAAGTCTGCATATAAGTGCAGAATGTTTGCATAATAATGGTTGGTCAATGAACAACTCAATTTGCGAGTCTAATTGGCCACTTACACTATTGTTATTTGAGATTCAAACACGGGTCCGTTATTTCCTATAATATTAGGGTGAGGGGCCATCTGTGTCCATTGCATTCAAGGCTTGTAAAAAATCGTATTGTTAAAATATTTACTGTAAAAAAGTCTGACTCTTTTATAGCAATTTAAACGGTTTTGGTGCAATCATGCGTCGTCTGAAACCAGATAAATTATGTGACAGGCAAAAGTGTAAACAGGGCATATATGCACCATCCTAGACTGCTATCCCACTTAACACCAGGTGCGATTGTGGTCAAATACCTGCCTTGTTATGCATAAAAAAATATTTTTCAATGTAATTTTAATCATTTCAGGCGATCCCGAAGAAGAAGAGTCCTATTGGAAATTAAAATATGTTGAAGAAAGGAAACGTGTTGCCGAATTGAAAAAGTAATTGAAACTATTCAATTGGTTTAATGAATAGCACTTGAATTATTCATTCATCATATTTTTACACTCATTGTTTTATTACAGATTGATAAATGAAAAGAAAGAAGAAGTTGTCAGGGAAAAATCTCCCATTTTGCCTGCAAGGCCTCGGTAAGTAAAAAATGTTAGCTGTACAATATGATTAATTGATTAATCAATTAATTTACAATCAAGATACTAAATACAGAATACAATTTTCAGCAATCTGTCGACACTTCAAGTTCAATCGCCACTTAAAAATATAAACAGCAGTAAGTACTTCAATAGCATAGATAATAATGTTCAGTCGGCAGCACTTCAAGTCTATACATTTTTGATAACTGGTCCCTATTACAACGACATAGGATGCCACAGTGTTAAGCTTGATGTGCCGTCGCCCGTACTTTATTTATTTTAGTTCAGACAGTGTAATATTGTACTAGGCATCAAGCATCAGAAACGAACATTAGTTTATGTGTATTCCAGACATAGAAATGGCGCGCGCTCCACAAAAAGAAACCAAGGAGACTCCAAGTGATACGGGGAAAATACTTAAAATCAAATTCGCTAAAGACAACCATGTAAGTGATTCAATATTTATTTTTTAAATTGGCTATATACTGGCAACTCTGTAATAAAATAAGGCAAAACTGCACCCTTTATATGTTATTCTTTAAATCTAAATTCATATTAAATGATTTGCTTTTTCCATACAATTTTACGGATTAGTTAGTAATTTGTTAATAAATATAGTAGGCAGTGATATTATTTACTTATATCTTGAATCTGTCATTTTAGGAGGTTCTCGTCGAAGGTCACTGGTCTCAAATCCATCCGATGCTAGCGGACGTGGTGCAGATATTCAACAAGAAATCAGACGCCCCGTCCACCACAACCAGATCGACGACGCCCCAGAGGCCGGCAACGCCCCAAAGACCCACAACGCCCCAGAGACCCGCAACGCCGCAGAGAGTGGCTACGCCCCAAATATTGTCGCCGCGTAAACCGCACGCGACGTATAGGCCGGCCTCGGGTAAGAAAACAGCAATGGTCCGCAAAACGACGTCTCAAGCGATGGAGACCGTATCTCTATCGAGCGAAGCGCCCACCCCAGACGAAGGTATTCCCAGGATAGGTAATAAGGTGTTCGCTTTCTATGTTAGCTAGATTTTAAAGTCTCATTTCCTTTCATTAAATCATTCACAATTATGAATACTTGTGTGAATTATAAAGACACGGCTTATAAAAATTTGATGTATATGTTACAGTCAAAACTTATTATAATCGGTCAAAACTTTTGACTGCAAAAATCGGTCAAAAGTGGGTTTGGTTTTGACTAAAGACATTATTAGTCAAAACCACTTTTGACTGTATTCAATCGGTTAAAAGTGGTATTGACCAAGGGCATCGGGCAAAACCACTTGACTGATTTTTTCAGTCAAAAGTGGTTTTGACCGATTATGAGTTTATACTGTGTAATAACATACAATAAATTGCTTTATGTCTTCGCATGATCTGTTGTAATTTCCACTCAACTTCATATTGCACAAGCACAGGGTTTGCGTTTTTCGGTCCTATTTGTCTCTACCATCATCCCAGTGTGAGTAAGAAAGATGTATGGAGCTGAAGAATACATTACAGAAATGTTACAACAATTTTAAAATGTTTTCAGAGACCCTAGAAAAGGTGAATAAACTAGAGACGGAAATATTCAAAGAGATAGAAAAGATAGATAAAGAGATAGATCAAGAGGAAGATGTGGAACAACCAAAAGAGCAGTCGCAAAATAATGTCACCACTAGGTATGTATTAAACGTCTTGGTAATAACTGTCATTTTGCCACAAAAATGCACTAATATGCAGTCAAATATGCAGTCACTATACATTGTATTTATAACTAGCGGCCCGTCCCGGCTTCGCACGGTTGCAATGGAATTTCCTATAAATATGCATGTTTTATACATATAAACCTTCCTCTTGAATCACTCGATCTATTTAAAAAAAATCCATCAAAATCCGTTGCGTACTTCTAAAGATCTAAGCATAGATAGGGACAGACAGCGGAAAGCGACTTTGTTTTATACTATGTAGTGATAATTCCTTCTTTTTTTTGTCCTTTTCCTTCCAACAGGAAAAGAGCGAGCAGGACTCGCAAATCTTCATCCACTCGGGCTTCAGCGTCTCTCTCTCCCAGCTCGACTCGAAGCCCTAAACGTCAGAAAACATCATCTGACGCACCCCAGGAGACCGAAGCTCCACCCAAGAAAGCTAAGAACAAAAGCAGTTCCAAAACGGAGCTCAAGGAAACCAAACAATCTGATGCAAAGGAAACAGTTGAAGCTGTTGACAGCACGACTAGTGTTACGTCAAAAAAGGAATCACCAAAGAAAACTGGCACCGGTAAGACACCAATGTCAACTGATGTAAATTGAGCTAGTAAAATTCTTATTCACAAAGCAGGCCGGTCACTACTCAATTCTATTTTTGTCGAGTTTCTAAAATATTCAATGTTTTATTTAACGAAACTGCATTTCCTATTCCAAGCATAGTAAAATAGATATTATTATGTTTAAGTCTCCAGTCTTTACCAGAGCTGTCATTGACTAATGTTCCGTAAAATTATTATTCATTGGATCTATATTTAAACGATTGACTGAAGAACATAAAATGCATTATGGTGCGTCTATTTTTCGCCGACCTCATAATGGTGGCAGGAAGGCGATGATGCAGGCCGCCACCAACCGGCCATTGTGGAAATTATTGGGGGAGGCCTATGTTCAGCAGTGGACGTCCTATGGCTGAAATGATGATGATATGTGTATTGTGTTAACTGCGACTTCAAAACCAAGATAAGTTGTTCTTCGCAACTCTTATAGCCTGCATTTTGTTCCCAGTTGCTGTGCTCACAGAATATAACACCAGATCCAACAGCAGGAAGTCCAAAGCGCCATCAGTGGAGACACGGGCCAGCAGTTCTCATGACACCTCCCGTGAGCCTCGCTACATGTTCCCGGCAACCACACGCTCCAGGAAATCGCACAACCACAGCAAATCTAAAGACAAGAACAAACGGTAAACTAAAGTACTGACGTACGAACTTTTTTATTTAAAGTGTATTTTATACATGATGTCTCCATGTGCGAATAATTTTATCATTGACGCCCGAGTGGCGCTCGTATGTTTACGATACAAAGTCACTTTACATAATATTTTTACTTTAGCGAAATAGTCATAAAATATACATATTTATTTAGAACTCTTAAGATTGAATAAGATCCTTTAGGGATTCTCCTTATTACATAAGGCCTATTTGTCCTATGTGTAACATAAAGGAAGTACAGTAAGATTTTACTCATATTATTTTATCAAAGAAATTGGATTCCGCAACTTTAGAACGCTTATTTATACATCAAAAATATTATTGTTACTTTTTCATTGTGCACTAATATTGTAATTATCAAACAATGGAATTGGTACATTTTACAAATCATTAGTTTCCAAATTGAAGTTGGTATTTTATTGAATTTATTAAAGTTTATAAAAATTGTTTTTAAACGATCTGTGAAAAGCGAAAAGATATTTGTACTTTTTAAAAAATGTACACTGTTGACGTATGGGAGCAGGTGTTACATATTCGATCAATAAATACTTTTGTATAATACTTGTGTATTATTTTATTTTGTAAGCCCACTAGATATAAATATTAATTAAGGAAAATAGAAATATAATATAATATTGGATAATAAAAATAACATAAGGGTGCTTTCGTTTGTAAACCTGCTTCCATTGTGCCGCTTATTGCATGTCGCTTAAATTAAAGAACTTGGATAGACAGATTTACACTCTACAAAAGAGTGTTCGCGCTGAGGCTAAGAAGGGGATATATTATGCACTACCTTTTAGCACGGGATTGCTTGCCGTGTGTTGAGTATTTTACCAAATTGAGGCTGGTTTTAGTGTCACGCGGACCGTCCGGTGCGGACCCGCTCCGCACGGCCAATCTGTATGAACTTCTAGGGAGTGTTTTAGAGTAATGCGGTCCGGAGGAACCGCTCCACTCCCTAGCAGTTCATACAGATCGGCTGTGCGGAGCGATCCGCACTGACAGTCCGCGTGACACTAAAACCAGAATGAGAGCTAGATATTTCAAAATAGAATTGACAAATTGTTAACATAATATCATTCAACATACTGTGTATTGGCTCCACTCACCTCTTCATCTTTTCTTCGCTTCAGTGAAACTCACTTTTACGTTTGCATATTTTTTTAACCAGTCATTCCTTTTGTCTGTGCTTTCTGCTTTTTCCTTATACTAAGAGCCGTTTCTTTTCTCCCCGCACAGCTTGGCTAACCTACCCGAGACATTCTGCTTGCCAATCATAAACGACGAAAGCACTCAAGGCTACCAAGACTCGGACATTAGTCCTCCAAAAGCAAACCATAGACGAAAAAGAAAGTTAAGTCTCTCCACAGTTCTGTACAGAAGCAAAAACAAAATGCATCGCGTTAAAAGAAAATCTTACCCATGTATTACAGAAGAGGGATCTAGCGACACAAGTAGCGCTTTCCAGATCATAGTACGACCTACAAGTAACAGCAGCCTTAAATCGGAAGCATACAAGACAGATTCCTACCAATTGTTATTTCCGCAAACCAAAAATGTATTTAGACAGCTTGAGAAAATTGATGAAAATACTCCTGCTCCAAATAATAGTTTGCATCCGAACAGACACCCTGCTCTAGATGGAAGACAGCTAGAAGTACGTATAAAGAGATTGAGCGACGAATTCCTTACTTGTTATTCAAACGGAAATACAGATGGTAACTCTAGTAATGTATCTCTGCCTATGTCTCCAGAGTTATCGATTGTAGAAAACTTGTCTGTCAGCAAAGAATTGGTAAACAGTATCGAGAATTATCCCACCATAAATGAGATGCAGGCAAACAGTACGAGCGATAAGGTGGTTCATAATAAATATTTAATGTCTGAAATCGATGTCAGCATGCCTCTGATGCAACAAGAGTGTGGACTTCATGAAAGTATCGAGAGGAAAAGAAAACAGTCCGGTCATGATCACACAAAAATGTCTTTGGTATCGGACTCACTGCTTAATAAAATCGACACCGTTAATATTGAAGATGCTCCTTCTCTATCGGAATCACTAGATGCCAGGCTTAGGAATTTGTTACTGGAAAGTGCTAAGAAAATGTCCATATCTTCTATAAAAGAAGAAGATCGTAACGTAGAGACAACTGGTGCTAAAGAGGTGCAGAAGAAAGAGAAGTCAAAAAAGCGATGTTCAACGCCTCGAAAAAAGAGGGAACCTAAAAAGCCAAAGGTACCGACAGTAGATCCTGTTGTGGAGGAAGAAATAACGGAGACCTGTTCATACGGTGGCAGAAAGTCTTGCCCGCCTGTCATCCAGATTATAAGCGATAGCGCTACGCATAAGGAAAATACGATTGTCAATACTGATAAGGATAAAGTAGTCGCCGAAAATAGCAAAGGAAGGAGAAAGAAAGACGTCATAAAAGTTAAAATACTGAGACCAAGGAACAAAAGTCGGTCTAGAAGTCCAGAGCCCACACAGAATATTAGCAAAACTACTCTACACACAGATAGTGGTATTCATGAATCTGGTTTAACGGTTCAGGGTTTGAACGATAGCATTGACCTGATACATAACCACTCGGAGACGTGTCTCCTGGCCAACGAATGTATGGGCGATAGCGTAGAGTTTATTGAAACGAACACAAAGTCAATCATATCGTTGAACTCTGATTCAGCAACATCATCTGATAAAGTTTCTCTCAAGAATCGTCTAGTGTTCCAAGACTGTCAAGATTTCGTACCGGATCTATTCTGTGAGAATGCTCAAAGCTTCTGTCGCATTGACTATGGTAAGGCTTATTTATTTTGTTTTCTTTTATCTCAAGATGATGCTCGATCACGATTAGTCTAACGTTTAGAATTATAGGTCTAGGGGCTTGAGGTATGAAAGCTGCACGGGAGGGAGCAAATGTCATGGAGACTTCAGATTTGTATGCTCTGTCACGTCATAATACGTCAATATCACCATCCCTATATCCTGGTTAATCTATTATTGTTTCACTGTATGTTTTCCAAACAAAATAAAAATAAATAAAATCCCTCCCGTGCCGCTCGCATACCTCCAGGCACCGACTAGTTTTAACATAATAAAATGATCTGAATTTGAGATTTTATCCTTGCTACTAAACTAACATGAGTTTAGTTTTTAAGAGCATTATGTACCTTCTATTTACCTGCCATTTTTTAGTTTCAGATTCAGCCAAACATAAGGATAATGCAAGCGACACAGTGTACCACAGTCCTGTGGTGAGCGAGCTCTCTATCAACAGCCTCATCACCGAAGATCTTTCCGACGAAACGCCCCAGAGCTCGCAACCTTCGAAGTGGTATCTCCTCAGTGAAGACGAAACTACCAATACCAACCTCAGCCCTGCACAAAGCGTGGGTGCCAATTTAAAACAAATATTCCCCGTTACTTGCGCAGTACCAGACCTATCGACTATCACAGAGAACTCGAATGATATTAGCAGAAAGCGTACCACGGACAGCGCCAATAGCACTAAATTAGATTTTAATTCTCCAAATGTATTTGATATGAATTCTTGCTAAGTTATTTAATGATATGATTGTAATGTAGCGCTGAGCGCAGCTAGAATAATTGAATAATAGTAATTGATTGATAATATTGTAATGTTTATGCAAATAGTAATATAATTCATGATTCCAATTATTCCGTGTCTAATTCTATAGCTAGTAGGGTTCTATATTGGCTCACATAAAATTCTAAATCCTATTCTTTGTCTTACTACCGATTTGTGTTCATAATAATCTTTCTTCATAATTTTATTTTTCATACTTTTTTTATTCATACATTTTTATTACTACCATCGGAGCTCATAACAGTTAGTAATCATAATTTTTTTATTAATACTGTTACTACCAAGAACCATTTAAAATACATAATTTTTATTTTCAGATCTTTTTTTCTTCATAACATTCATTGATCATATTATTTTAAATAATAATGTTGTTACTAAGAACATACTTCAACTCATAATGTTGTTGTTCAGAATAATTTACTTTATAACAGACATACTCGTATCTTTAAAAAAATCATATATAATTTAATAGAGTAGATAAGCATGCAGAGCATGCAGCATGAAAGCAAGCATGCAGCATGCATTGGTATCTCGTCGTCTCCGGCG